AAGAATACAAAGAATTGATACTTGCAAAAGAATTAAATATCGAATCAACGCATAAATGAACATACTTAAAAACAGCTCTAATATCGTTATCAGTAACACAAGAAATATTTGAAGAAGAAATAAAAGAAATAACTCTTAAATTCATAGACGGAGAAATACTTGAATATATTGAAGAACTATTAAAACAATAACAACCTGGAACAATTAGTCGAATTATCCTCATTACCATTAATAAACACGACTCTTTTGTGGATGAACCACTTTGCTGTAACAGCTATAGCATACGATAGAGTATCAATACACTTTATACTCTTACTAAAAGACGTGATACTAGTATTTGGAGTGTGTTATATAGTGAATAAAATATCAGACCTAATAATTAAATATGTATCAATAAAACAACAGGAAAACCTCCTTAAAATAGAATTTAATGACTACAAAGAGTAATAGCCAATAAAATAGAACAACCCAAGTATTAAAAGAATACCTCGAAGATTTACAAGGAATAATCCAATTAGACTTATTAATTGACTTAACGCATCAACAAATAATCAAACAAATTCAAAGTTTAAATAATAAATATTCCTGCGCGCAATTAAAAGAAGGAATTAATAAGAATTACTGTCTAGTATCAGTATTAGACGAAATTAATAGAGTAACATCCCTAGTAACAAGAACGATTAGTTTAGAATTGACATTTAATCAATATCGATCTATACCTGAAGAGCAGAAAGAAGCCGAAGAGGAAATATATTTAGAAGAGCTAAAGGAATTAAAAGGAAACCTAGAAAACTTAACTAACTACGAGTTAGAACAAAAACTTGAATTGTTACAAGACAAAAACATTGAAAATATAAACAGTTTTATAATCGTGCACAAGGGAAACAAAACTAAAAATATCGAAGAAATCAACAGAGAAATAAAAAGATTCGAGAAATACGTAAATAAAAGAAAAGAATACTTGAAAGAACTTAATGAGCAACAATAGGAATATATACCAAAGAATAGAAAGGATCATACAACAAAGAAAATTTAAATTCATTTGGAATATCTCACATAGGAAATCAAAGTTTAACCCAACTAAAGAAATACTAGAACAAAGAACAAAAGATCAGATAGTAGAAGATATAATAAAAACAGTCGAAAGACTTCAGAAAAGAATACAACCAACAAATAATAATCGAATAGGAATAATCTTAGTTCTACTACAAACTGTAAAAGAATTATCACCATCTATACACGAGACTGAAGGAATTATATTCAATTACGAATCAACTGCAATACAAAAGGATACATAAATAAACTAAATATTGTACAATCCCAAATAGGAGTAATACTTGATGAAATAGAAGAAAGAATACAAGATCCTTTAGCCCAAAGAGAAGTTTATTTAATACCAGACGAATTAGAAGTGGTAACAACTCATATTCTTAATACTGTAAGAAATCTCTACTCGTTAGAAGGAGCAACTTACTTTCTAGACTACGACGAAGAAATACAAGCATGACTATCAGAAAAGGGAGTAAAACAGTCTCTAGAAAACGGGAAAGCAAAAGAACTAATTGAGAAAAGAACTGAAGAACTGCTTCAAGAATTACAACAGTATAATGACTAAATTTAAGAAAATAAATATAGAAAAATACTTTGATCTTTATCATAAATTAACAAAAAGAGAGAATCCTAGATACGAATCAACCATAGAAGAAACAAGAGGATACTTTAAAGAAATATTCAAAGACATTGAAGAAGAATACTACGAAGAAATTCTACGACTAGAAGTAAATGGAATAGCCAACTCTATAACCTCTTTATTTCCTAGAAGGAAAGAAACAGACTTTGTCTATTTCCTAGTAAAAACACTTAGAGAAATAGACTACGATATTAACCAATTCGTTTCAGATATCAAAGACGTAAACCATTCCCAGTGGTCTTTTGTATACACTGATGAACAAAATAAAGAACATCGAAGAACAGTCTACCAAAGCGAACTTGAAAATCAGATACACGCTATATATATAACAGCAGTAGGATTCTACGTAGGATTAAAATTTGATAAAACAACACTTGAAGAGATAAAAGAAGAACATAAGAAATTCTGGAAAGATAAATGACTCATTGGAAACATTTAAATTCTGAACTGATATTCGAAGAATACTATTGTTTTAATACAAAACCACATAGATCAGGACAGTCAATAAAACCAAAAGAATTGACAACTAACCAATCCCTAGAACTATTAGGAATATTAATAAACGACTTAGAATTAGAACTTGAAGAAGTAGCCCTTAGAAGTGCAGTACTAGAACAGAAAATTCTTACAATATACAACTGCTATTACAACGACGACTATTTGTGGATAGCAACAAAAATAAAAGATATTTATAAAACAATTGAGTGGCAATATAATCCAGACTCAAGTGCATACGTTGGAAAAACTTTTGAAGAATACGAAAGACAGTGTAGACAAGAAAGCTATAAACGACATCTCGAAGAAATTTATAAGAAAAGAACAGGAATGAGTATAAGTAGAGAATATTGGAAATCCGGAGAACAAACCTGGGAAAATTTTAGGAAATACCATGCAACAATTTGGGAATGAGATTGCAATCAATGGAAAACTGTTGAACCCAGAATTAAATCAATGCGAGAAAAAATTGAACCAAAAGGACCAGCCACAAAACGACTTGAAAATTTACTCAAATCCAGAGCTATTAGCATACCTCAATAAACCAGTATTCCTACATGACCCCTACCAACTACCAAATAGAATAATGACTCAGGCAATAGGATTTACAATGATAAATAAAGAAGCATACATTTTATTAGCAGAAAGAATTAACCCGAATAAAAGCTTTTATCGAACATACAATGGAATGGGTGGAAAGGGAAAATTAGACCAAAACGGAATGCCAAAAGAAATCATAGAAGTAACAGCTCTAAGAGAAATATTTGAAGAATCGGAACTAGTGATAAAAAATAGTAATTTAATAAAGATTCAAGAAAATTCTTATTATTCCACAGAAGAATGGATAGCAACAGGATGCAATCCTGAAGAAGCAAAATACTTTATAACACTAGGACTATTCATTTTCCAACTAAATGATGAAGAAATTCCCAAAAATACTGAACCAGAAACCCTAGGACCATGGAAACTATATTCCCTGAAACAAATAGAAGAACAACAAATACCCCTTGTACCAATGGTACTACAAAACCTATGGTACATATTCAAAAGAATTGAAGATTACCCAACGTTAGAATATATAAACAAAATAAAAACGGCACACCAATATAGAATAATAAACCCAAAGAAAACATTTATCAAATTATTCGAAGGAATAGATTCTGAATCCGACGAAGAACAACTCGAACCACTAACGATAGAAGAATTTGAAAACATCATGATCAATAAAGAAGACATAACCTCAAAACAGATTAAAAGAGGACGACTATTCAAAACTCTAATTCAAAAACAAATAGCACCACTAAAACGAATAGAAAAACAACTTATGAATTTTGACCATCTCTATATGGGATACAAATATCTAACCATCTTTGACAAAAACGACAGAGCCAAAGTAGCGACAGTATTAGAAAAATATCCCAAAGTAATTGACCTATCAAAACTACCAGACAATATCTTGGAAAAACTTAAAAAACAATATTACTATTACAATCTAAAATACGATAATAACGGACAAGCGTGCCAAATTAAAATACGACAAACAAATGAATTTCAAGTTACACTTGTAACAATTAGATTCTTAATGATCGAATACAAAGACCTTACCCTTATCTAGAAGTAACCGGTAATACAAATCCGGCCACCGAATACTTAACCTTAGCCATGTGGGGTAATCAGTTAGATGCGGTCTAACCGATTACCCCACATTATAGGTCGTCATCCTCGTAAAAAACCTTAGCAATCTTGTGATCTAATGATTGGGTTTTGACAATTTTGGACTCAATAGAATCGTCTCGATGTGAAGAACATTTTGATAGCTGTTTCATTAAAAACGGTCCAGTGGATTAAATGTTATTTAAGATTTAAAAAGGTGTCAAATTATATCTGTTTTAGTACAATTGCAAAAATTAGCCAAAACGGATACATACAAGATTAATTAATTTATATTAGGGATAATAAGTTGATTTTAGTAGCTTGATTTACATTAGTTTTCGAATATTTTTTTGGTTTTCTTCTTTCGTATGTGACCAGATTGACAGCAAAATTTTTATTATTATGCCTAATTAATTAAAACATTTACATTTGCAAGAATTATTTTTACGTTCGTCCCTATTATTTATGTAAATCATACTTTTTTCAACATCCTATATGTTGATAACTTTACAAACTTTAAACACTTTAAATTAGGAGTTTCAAAATTAAATTAAATTAAATTTTGTTACTACTAAATTTGATTTCACAAAAGAAACCCCGATCATTTCTGAAATACACTATTTTCAGTGAGCTTTTAATTCAGTTAAATGGCTTAGTTATAGATCTAAAATTTCACTTCACATTGTAAACAATGCGTAATATCTTAAGGTTAAAGTATATAAATTAAAATAAAAAAATTTGATCAAATAGTTATTAAAAAATCTTTTAAATTTATAATAAGAATAATTTTGTTGGCTAGCTGGTTTTTTTTAGAAGTTTGTATTACCGGCGCAAATAACTAGTACACGTACGTTGTGATGATACGGATATCTATCTACACTAAAACCAATCTGAACAACACTCTATACTGCTAAACTCTGTCTAAACCTTAATATGGCAGGCTACGAGAGAGGCGTGGAAGACTTGGTCCGAGTTATTAAGGTCAGATAGAGCTCTGGATTACGTCACGAGGCTCTACTCTGAGATCACGGATTTAGACTACTAATTCTATGCTAGTTTGACTTATCGGGAGGGGGGTAATTGGAAGAAATATTAAAGTCAGAATAATTAACTCAGATTGAGTCGAACTCTAGTGAGTTCCACAACTCTACTCTCTCTTTTATTAAAGCAAAAGGTGGGTCTTATATGCTTTTGACTTCAAACTTCGTACATATGGCTGTGTTTTAGATTTCTGACATCTTACTATGTCTTTTGAACGACTTGTATGTTTTGTACGAATTGCATGACTTGTACGATTCGTATGTTTTGTATGTTTCGTATGAGATTGATCAACAAAGTCTATCTATGGTAAGAATATCCCTTTCGCTATTTTTGACTAATACATATATGATGATAATGATAATAATACTAATAATAGATATATATAAAAAAAAAATTTAAACGATATAGCACCCGGGTTGCCGCTCACAACGTACGTACGTACGTATATGCGTAAGCACGCACGCACACTAGCCAACCTAGTATCACCCATAAAAAAATGTAGCTGATGTCATCATTAATGCATGGAACTTAAAGTTCCGATAATTCAGCGAATTTTTTTTTTTTTATGCGATAATAATTTATATTATGTACTAAGCGATAAAATTTTTATCAAATATATATTTAATTTTTATTTTCTTTTAACTAAACACTTTAGTATCAGCTTTAATAGTGCACATATAAAAATAATTAAAAGTTGGATTATGTGAACCAACACATGGTATTATGATTTAAATCCGCCAAGTTGTTTTGCGTTTTCAAATTTTTTAATATCTTAAAGCATATTTTTTAAAGCTTTAAAATTTTAACGGACAGAATTTAGCCAATATTTCGATTCGGTTTATTTCGTGAAATGTTTAGAATTTTTTTTTATTTCTAATATATGATAATATATAATTTAATGTTGGCATTTTAAAAGAATTCGATACTTCTTACTTCTTCGAGCATATCACAGAAATGATTTAAATTAGTTCATTCGAATTTTCTTTATCACCGTTGCTATTAAGTATGAAGTCATTTTTATTGTATAATTTTCATATCTTGTTTTGT